ACTCCAATATGCACTGATCTCGTATCTATTCTTCAATTTGAATGTCAGTCTTAGTGTAATACACTTGCATTTTCTACTCTGAATGCACATCTCAGTGCAATACAACTCTTTATTGTGCAATACAAATTTTTGCAAGAATACACAGAGTTACATTTGTTATTCATGTTTTGTTGTATGTGAACTATGTGATATACAGTCATGTGAAAACTTTAGGAGACCCTATTGAATTCCATGGTTTTCTGTATCAGGACATAATAAAAATTATCTGGTCCTTGCAGGTCTTAAAATGTGAACAGATGAACAACACCGCATGACATGTTCACACCGCATTTGATTAGCATTGCCTGACCGTTACTTATCCTCTTAATTCCTATGTTAACAGTAAGGGTGTAAAATGTAAAACGGGAACATGAAAGGAATATTCTAAAGTTATAATCGAAGTAAACACTAATCAAATTAAGACATGTGAAGTATTCCTATTTTAGTCGCATTATTGAAGTGCATTAAAGACATGTACACACCTTAATCAAATTATTACTGTCGTGTAGGACTTTTCGCCGCATTTTGTGACAGGATACACACACGGCAGTGTTCAACTGTTTGACGCAAACAAAAGAATGGCTTCGCATGTTTGCATGTATAGCATGACAAATAATTAACTGCACTTGAAGCTTTCAGTAAATTAAAAATGAAACACACAAAACTGTATATGGCTTCATAACGAAGACAAACTATATGTTTATGCATGAAATTCCGGAGGGGACGTCGGATGGCGTCACGTGGTGTCGTAATGACGTGTGCCATTAATCGATCTATGTACTATAACATGTCAAACGGGAACATGAAAGGAATATTCTAAAAGCAACTCATGTAAACACCTTAATCGTAATATTGTCTTATTCAGAATAAGGTACATAATTAGATTACTGATGTCCATGTAAACGTAGTCAGTGTTTCAGTGGTGGTCTCCAGCTCTGCTCGCTCCACTGTGGTGGACTTAAACTCTCCATCTGCTCCACCATGGGGATCCTCAGTCCCTGTCTGCTCTGCTGTGGTGGTCATCTGCTCCACGCTGGTGGTCTTCAGATCCACCCTGGCCTCCTGCTCTGCCAGCTCCACCCTGGTATCGTGCTCCACCCTATGTAGTTATAGTTTTATGATTATCTTTTTGAGGAAACATTGTACAAATTATAATGCAAAACAATGTTACATGGTTTATATAATAAAGGATTTTAGTTTCAGTTCTACAAAACATTGGACTTTAAAGTTTAAGCACAGCACTTCATAATCAAGCACAAGTTCACTTCACACAAATGCATTATAAAGGCCTTGCATATAATATAAATAAATTATAAAAATAAAAAGAGTGTCACATGTTCTGTGTAGGTTCCTTGTGTTTGTCTTTGGACTTTTATGTTGAAGTGTTTCCTGTGTCATATTTGTAGTCAGTTTGTAGTCTTTCAAAATGGTATGCAGTCTCTTGCGGTCTTTCCTGCAAGAGGAAAGTTCTTCCATAGACTCAAGAAGAAGAAGAAGAAGAAAACTAACAGATAAAATAGATGGCTACACACAGTGTCTATGTACCATTTTTGCTTGGCTCCTAAAAATAAAAAAACCAAGGTTAAGGCTGCAGGCAAATCAGATTTTTATTCTTAATTCAGATCTTTTCAGGCAGACTGTCCACACTATTACTTGCGAGTGATCAAATCAGATGTGTGTGTCCAGACATAACCAACCTATCTGCGTGGGTTGCTTTGGTTATGATGCAGGCATACCCACATATGTGACGAGGCTTTCAAAACAGATGCAGGAAAAAAAGAGGTACATCCTCTCGATCTCCAAATAAGTGCCTGTCAAGTTGTGGTGTAGAACTCTTCTGTCACTCAAGAAAAACCCAGCGATGAAGGAGACTGGTATATATTGTGATGTTCTGTGCTGTAGTCACAGCTGGCTTCAGAGTCTTTGGATACTGAATATGTCTGTCATTTCTGTCACTGGTTTTGACGTTATTGTTGTTTGTCACATTAAAAGTGACACAAAATACAATCTGAAATCTGATTTGAGCAGCCAGAGCATTTAGACTGAGACACATCTGTAAAAATCTGATTGGAATGGCATTTTAAACCACCTCCACATGTTTCAATCAAATTTTTAAAAATCTGATTTTGTTTTTTTTTTCTCTTTCTTTCTTTTTCTTTCCTTTTCTTTTTTGCTGTCCAGACTTTCAAAAACCCATCTGAATAATACACCCCTTTGGTACTTGGCCCCTATATACAAATATTAAATAAAATAAAAATAAAGCCTTTATTAGTGAATGGATTTAAATGACTTGATGAAATTATTATTATTTTAAAAACATAGCCTATTAATAATAACAAATTATTTGAACTTCATTCGGGCACAGGCACGAGGCAGCCTATCTATACATTTGTAAATGAAAACAGACGCTTATTTAGGGTGAGTAAATTAGGATTTTATTTCTGGAAGAACTATCCCTTTAAGGGCATCATAGAGGACTGTGAAGATATTTCACTGGAACTTGGTCTTCGTTACATTTATTTTCTATTTATTTATCTATTGTCATTTATGTATTCAGCTAATAAATGTTGTTATTGGTGCCATTCACTATATAGCAAAAATGAGCAAATGAACTGAGTCCTGACTCTCTGCGGTTATTAAAAGTCAAAGGGTGTTTCTGGAAAAAAAGTAGTGGATAAGTGATTTCTATCCATCATGGCTTCCGAATCAGAATGAAAGAAAGTCCTGACATATGTGAATGTCAGAGATTGTAGACTTCTATATAAAATACCTAATAAGCTCACTCAACTTTTCAAATTTGCAATTAAAAATGTAATTTATTTTTTCAATTTATGTCAAAACTAAAAATATTACTGAGCCCTTCAGTTAATATTCACTTTCACAACAAGCCAAATGTTTTTCGAGCTTTACCTACCTGACTACTGTTACCACTTTCAATCATCAGATGTGAGTTAAATTGTATGATGTGACTGATCTAGGTATATACTATGTGAATATTTTAATCTTTTGCAGTGTATCTTTGTGCGAGTTGTTTATCATTTACTATTTTTAGCTGATTAGCACCGGAGACCATGTTTTAGTTTTTCATTTATTTCTTTGGCTTTAATGTTATTGTTTTATGCATTAAGCTGTTGCATGAAGATGTTTCAGAGAATCATTAATCTAAAGTATTAATCAAAACATGTTTACATATTTTATTAGCTTCTTAGTATACAATTAGGAAAAGGTCACAGACGTTTGAAATTTGACTTGAAATGAAGAGACTGTGGTATGGATAACCACTATTTAAATATATCGGTGTTACCAATAGAGGGCAACGATGATTATGCAAATGGTCACAGAATAAATGAAAAATAATTCATCTAAATGTGTTTGATATCTAAGAGATCTGGATGAGGCTCTTCAACTCCAGTGCTGGAGGGTCAGTGTATCTTTAGTTTCAACCCTTATTAAACACATCTGTCTGCAATTTGCAAGTAATAACTCAAATAATTATCTCGTTAGAGTGTGTTTGGTCAGGGTTAGTGATCAACTCAACAGGATAATGGCCCTCCAATTCCTTTTGTAGGGAATTGGCAGTTTCCCACTGTAGGAAATGCAAAAGGAAATCAAAACTCCATTATTTATTAACAAATATATTGGTGCATAACCTTCAGAACTGTGGCTGTTTTACATGTGATCCATTAAATGAGTACTTGAATTTAAGTAAATAGTTCATCATTTCTCCCATTATCACCACTGCCAATTTAATGTTACTATTAAGTATAATGCACCCTGATGAACAACTGTGATACTCATTTAATTGTATTTAAAATGGGATTGATGGCAATTTCTACAGTGATTTTGCAACAGTATTCTTGTTTTTCTAGCCTTTGTTTCATTTATAGACAAGCAAGAAAAATGATTACCGATAAAGAATAAATCTGTTGTTTGTGGTTTAATTTCATACTACTAATTGGACAAAATGTCAAGGTAAGAAGAAAATGACATTCTCCTTGTCATAAATTCCAAAGCAAAAACATACAAACAAAAATCTTTGAAATACAATACAATACCACATCACTCTATTATATAAACAACATATTTTTGTTCTTACTTAAAATGCAGTCTTCAAGATCCACATCTGAAATCACTTCAGTCAGAGGGACAGATGTGTTTTTAGTGCTGAGTTTACCTCTAGTTATAAGTGCAAGAAATCTCCAAACCCTTCAATTGTCATAATGCAAATCTTTCTTCACTTTACCACCGCAATCCCAAACAACAGCTTTTTACTCTTTTAAAATAACATATAAAATCAGATTTGTAGCCCTGTGTATTATTCACTTACCCAATAAAACATTCTTTCCTTCACATCTGAGGTCCCTCTGAATGCTTTCTTAATTCATACCTATGCAATACATCTCAGATATGATTGTCTAATTCATTAGGTGCTGCTTGAGGAACGATAAACAACGTTAAAGGCACTAGAAATATCTGATCAAAACGGAGATTAATTCTCAAACCATAAATCATCTCCAGCATCAGATGATCTGCATTTAACATGTGTGACCCTGGACCACAAAACCAGTTTTAAGTAGCACGGGTATATTTGTAGCAATAGCCAAAAAGACATTGTATGGGTCAAAATGATCGATTTTTCTTTTATGCCAAAAATCATTAGGATATTAAGTAAAGATCATCCTCCATGAAGACATTTCATAAATTTCCTACCATAAATATATCAAAATGTAATTTTTGATTAGTAATATGCATTGCTAAAGACTTAATTTCGACAACTTTAAAGGCCATTTTCTCAATATTTTCATTTTTTGCACCCTCAGATTCCAGATTTTCAAATAGTTGTATCTCGGCCAAATATTGTCCTATCCTAACAAACCATACATCAATGGAAAGCTTATTTATTCAGCTTTCAGAGGAAGTATTTCAAAAAATGTACCCTTATGACTGGTTTTGTGGTCCTGGGTCATATATGAGGTGAGAGAAATATGGACAAGAGCTTAATGCTACACAAATCAAAGCTACATACACGGTCTTAAATACAAGTTTAGTCCAGATATTAAACCACAGCTACCAAGGTTTTTACTGAATCATTTGATAGAAAATGTTTTAGTCCCTTCACGGTCTGTAGGTTTTTATGACGTCCTTTATGGGTCTCCGACAGATCGGACAACACGCGTTGATCTGTCTCTTGAGCCTCAGTCCACAGTCATTACACAAACACATGTGTCCACACGTATAGATGACGGTGTCCACCTCCTGATCGAAGCACACCGTGCACTCACTGCTTTTGCTGATCAGGGCTGCGTCAGATGCAGAAAGAGTCGGTGAGACCGGTGGACTGAGAGGAGAGCTGGGAGCCGTCACTGAAAGATAACACATGAAACGGCATCATAAACCTGCTTCAGTGGGGGGGAAAGACTAATTCATATATAGTACAAGACAGTTCTTCTGAATGTTAAAACAATAAGTGATGCCACCATAACCCTGTAAGAACAATAGTAATAGCAGTGCTTTAACAAACACCATTAATAACACTTTACGGAATGTGATTCTGTGATGTCTGGAGTTGATGTTGTCAAAATTTGCTTGCAAAACATGTTATGAAACCCTTAAATGTTAGCATGGGATGTTTACAGCTCTATTAAGGTTGCAATGAAACGAATGTTGCGACAGATCTTTCCTTCCGTATTGTAACATACAGTACCATCGAGTGTAAGAGATTATCATTCTAACTTTTCACTGCAAGATTGAGCTATGGTATTTTGTTTAAAAATGCAACATATTAAAAATGAAACACACATGGATAAATACACAACGAGATCAGTAACATGCGTTTAGAAGCAAGGTAAATTTTGATCTTACAGTAAATCAGTCATTTCATGATATTAGCATAAGCGTTTTGTTTCTTCCAGCAGTTCAGAATCGAATGTAAGCTGATGAATGAGCTTGTTGAGACTCACCTAGAGAGGACTCAGATGCTGATGAGGATCTGTTGACAGTGAAAGCCAGATCAGAGTCACTGTCATCAGGCATTGATGCCTGAGACACTGATGGGGAGGTGGGAGGGCTGGCCTGAACAGTTCCTTATGGACAAAAAGAACATCATTTAGCACAATGGACATGTGCCTTTATTACAACAATCACTGACAGTCACCTAAAGCTGACAATGATTTTCAACAAAATATTAAAGAATGTATAGATAAACTACATTATACATACGCTATGCTGCATTTTAACAGTTTGGATCCTGAATGCTGATTGGTCAATACAGCATTCCTGTTGTGCTCAAAAGCACAATATAACATCAGCTATGACATGATCAGTTTTTTTTTTATTTTTGCCACTCCCTGTACTCACAACATTGCATGGCCTTGTGACTTAAATAAATGTTGGCAGCATTCTGTTTTTGATACAGAGATATTAAGACGTGCAAATCTTTGCAACTGTCCAATGGTGTAGGTTTTAATTTTCATCTGATATAATCATTTGAATTAAAATAAGAGGAATAGTAAAACCTGTTTCACTGTATTTTTCAATATGCCATGCTGCTCTGAATCATAACTGGACTCAAGGGGAATTATTTTGGAACACTGGTAAAAAAAAAAAAAAAAGCATCATTTTGAAATAAAGTTAACTGTAGGATCTGTTTGAATGTAGTGGTTATGGGCCGAGGAACCCTGGGAAAGTGATTATGAAGCTACAGTACATACTAAATTGAACTCGCTGTCACTAACATATGCACAGCAAGGTCAGGTAACACTTTATTTTAAGGTGTCCTTGTTGCGCGACTGGTAAAAAAAAAAAAAAGCATCATTTTGAAATAAAGTTAACTGTAGGATCTGTTTGAATGTAGTGGTTATGGGCCGAGGAACCCTGGGAAAGTGATTATGAAGCTACAGTACATACTAAATTGAACTCGCTGTCACTAACATATGCACAGCAAGGTCAGGTAACACTTTATTTTAAGGTGTCCTTGTTGCGCGTGTTACATGTACTTACTATTATAATAACAATAAATTATACATAATTAGACCAAACCCTAATCATATTCCTAATCCTCACCATAGAGTAAGTTCATGTAGTTAATTCATATTACTCAGTACTTAAATGTATAATTACACTGTAACAAGGACACCTTAAAATAAAGTGTAACCCAAGGTCATTCTAAAGTTCCACTAAAAATAGGAAAACAATCAACTAAATGTAATATGTAAATTAATTCGTTTCTCAGGATATCATGAACTTTTGAGAAAAAACGGTTGATTGAGAGAATGAACAGTGTGAGCAAAGCTGAAATCTAGACAAAGAAGCAGCTTAAATATAAAAGCATTTTGTTTGAATGATTTAGGTTACTACATAATTTTCATCATTCAACATTTGTGTTCATTCATAATTTGTTGTTGATGTTTCCAAACTTTTAATTGGTAGTGTAAAGAACATCTATTAACAATTTGTTAAATTCACATATCGTTTATCATCACTTTTTATTAAATCCTACCTAATATTCTGAGCCGGTTCACGGCTCCATGCAGTGTGAAGAAGGCCCACAGAACCTGAGAGGAGTCGACACACAGGAGACGACCGCGTGTCCCTCCATTGACCCCATGATGCACCTCCCCATTGGCCAGAAAGGTAAAGCTGAGCACATCGCCTGCCGTTGGTACAGGAAAACCCCTGTAGACCACCCAATACTCCTTACGGTCCAGAAGCACCTCTGGGTCAGCTGGCAGCTCTCCAGCATTGAGGGTGCCTGGATCACAGGAGGTCATACCAAAGAGAAGAGCCCCAAAGTAAGGCAAGCCCAGATGGCCCACCTCCACATACAGCGTCTCGCCCACCCGGACGGGCCTGTCGCTGAACATCAACGTCCTGCTGCTGTCCAGGAAGTGTGTACATGCAACCGTGCGATCGTTCGAGAGAACCACGTCAGGGCCTCGCACTGGGTGAAAATGCAGGTCAGCGTCAAAAGGCGTGGGGGCCCTTTGTACATTGAAGGAGGTGGATGAAGAGGGTGTAGAGGAAGTGGAGCAGCAGGGGATGAGCTGGTTGTAGTTGCTGAGCTGTAGCGTAGCAAATTTTGCTGCCGCGGCCTGGCTGCTCTCTAGCTGGTTGTTGCTGTAGTTGGCCGAGTCGTGGTTGCTCTGGGGAAGATAGGCACTGAGTCGAGCGCTACTCAGACAGCTCGTGCCCACGCTCTCAGCAAATGTGCTCTCTGTGAGAGGAAAAGAAGACCAGTGAGTCATTATAAATAATAACCACTTTAATTTCTTCTGCTCTAATTACAATGCCTTTTTTTACTCTTTTTGACCTCTGGATCTGCAATTTGCCCCCTAACAGGAGCTGTAATGAAGCTGCCATGTTTGTTTTCGCCTACAGCAAAAGCATTTACCCTTCATATATTGACCTTGGTGAGACGAATGAATGATGAATGAATAGCTCCCAGTAGGACAAATGACCACCTTTTCTTTTAGAGGGAACATATTATATGTAAGGCGCTAAGCTAGTGTTCTGATTAGACTTCAGAAGCAGCATAAAGGCTGAATGATTTACATCAAAACCTAAGCCTAATGCCAATGTAATTACTACAATACTAATTTCTCACTAGAAATGACAACAAAAGTAAAAAAAAAAAAAAAAAGTTTTAAAACACATTTACACAAACTGCAACTTTTAGACACTATTTTCATTTTTCAGCTCAACTGTCATGGAATCGAATGCATAGGATTGTGAGATATCAGGCAGCGAAGGACGAAGAATACATCTGAGCTGCCTTCAAAAATTGATCAAATCAAGGTATCTCAGAAGACAGAATGTCACACGATCATTGAATTCTGACGTGCCTTACTGCCTTCCTACTCCGAATAGCATTTTTCAACTTTCGGATGCAACCAATGTAAATAATTATTAGACTATCTATTCTACATAAGTAGCAGATGTTTAGAATAAAGTTTAAAAATATATATTTCTTATATCACACTTGATCTGAATACATCATATTCAGTCGGATGGTCACATACTCTGTATTCACATGAGTTGAAACGTATCAACATATATGAAGCTCAGATCAGATAATACTGCATTCACAGAGATTCTGAACTCAACATAGCCCTCTTGTGACTCTTGAAAATGAACAACTTCTGTTCTATAGTCTGTTCTTTGTTATAAGCAGTGCAGTCTCATCTGGCCCACTTTCATGTAATACATAAGTAAATGTGTGACCAGATTTGAGTGTCAACAGGAATTCATGCGGTTTTGTGCATCAATGTACCTTGACATTCAATGAAATTGGGCACTTGATATATATATATATGAATACTTTCCGTACCCACTGTATATTTGATATATTTGACATACGGTATTACACAGAAGAATAGTATATGAAAATATATTTGTTGATTTATAGTGAGATTCAAAGAATATTTTAGCATAAACATTTAAATTCAAAGTTTAAACAAAAAATTAATATTAATTTGAGATTTTTATTTGTAGTATGTACTTCTTTTGCTTTAATCAAGCTGCAGTATGGGTCACATTTAAAAGTTTGTGAACAACCACTGCAAAACTGATTTGAGCATAAAATCATTGGGAAATTAGGATGTTCACATGGCAAGCCAAAAATCGATCAGTGATTTTCAAACTGTAGTGCAAACCATTGGTGGTCCATGAAGTGGTTTGCAGGTTGACTGAAAAAACAAACAAACAAACTGATTTCATTAGAATTATTATAGACAAAACACCAAATATCAAATCAATCGACTGAATAATCTATTAATCACAATGAATTTTATGATTGTGTTAACATTAAGTGTGTGCTCCAACTTAATAGCCAGTGTCATTATGGTTCATTAACTAAATGTAATCTAATTTTTACAATGAAACTATCAAAATTATGGACTGGATGTTTTAAGTTATAGGGCATAAATTAAAGATAATTTTAAAACTTTGGGTGAATAATTGGGTGAATTTTTTTTTCTCCCCCAGATTTGGGGTACATGGTGGGCCATGATTTTTTTCTAATGTTAAGGTGGTCCGTCACTTGAAAAAGATTGAAAATCACTGGTTAAGATGGTTTAACATGGTTCATAGACAAGCTTAATGTTTAATTAAATAAATGATTTCCCATCACAGATCAAAAAATCTTTCTGCCTATAAATCTTTATTTGTAAACCAACAAAACTGACAACACAGGCAAAACATCTCTATATATCTGGGTTCTGTAAGCTTTTCAGGTAGGCAGGGAGCCTTTCTCCAGGAACACGCAGCAGCCCTGACCAAACATGGTCAATGATCTTGCCAGACAGAAGGTAAACAAAGTCCTTCAGTGATGGAGAAATGGAGTGCGAAAAAAAACAGAACAAGAAGCAGGTTCAGTTTACTGACTCCCATTCTCAGATTTAGGATGTTTAGTGTTAGTTTAGTTATAAAATCTGTGATCTCATTAGTATTTACGCGTAAAGTGTACTTCTAGCACACATACATTATTTTTGTAACTAAGAACAGACACTGATGTCCAGTATACTGAACATGTGGTTTGTATTTAGTCCTCTAATTCTGAGGCTGTTGAGGCTCATTTGACTGGCACATTTCAGAGCTGTCAGTCTGGGTGGGAAGTGAATTACAGCACCTCAGTTGAGACATTCCTCTGACATTCAGCCCTTCTGTGCACCTGTGCGGCCTCCTAGAAGTAGTTCCAGCAAAGCTGTACACTGGGTCAATGATCTTGCCAGACAGAAGGTAAACAAAGTCCTTCAGCGATGGAGAAATGGAGTGCGAAAAAAACCAGAACAAGAAGCAGGTTCAGTTTACTGACTCCCATTCTCAGATTTAGGATGTTTAGTGTTAGTTTAGTTATAAAATCTGTGATCTCATTAGTATTTACGCGTAAAGTGTACTTCTAGCACACATACATTATTTTTGTAACTAAGAACAGACACTGATGTCCAGTATACTGAACATGTGGTTTGTATTTAGTCCTCTAATTCTGAGGCTGTTGAGGCTCATTTGACTGGCACATTTCAGAGCTGTCAGTCTGGGTGGGAAGTGAATTACAGCACCTCAGTTGAGACATTCCTCTGACATTCAGCCCTTCTGTGCACCTGTGCGGCCTCCTAGAAGTAGTTCCAGCAAAGCTGTACACTGTAAAAAAAAATCCGTAAAATCTACGGTAAAAAACCGGCAGCTGTGGTTGCCGGAATTTTACCGTAAAAAATACGGTAGCAACGTTTTAGGTTTTAACTTAAATTTACAGTTAAATACCGTAATTTCATTAACTGATATAATGTTAATATACCAACCTATTGAAGTACTGAAATCTGTTTTGTACCTTTGTAATACACTGATAACCACCAAAAGCAGGTGGTGATGAGAAAGTCACATGATGAACCAAAGCCCATCACAAGCAGCTTTTAAATAATAACATATATAGAAGGTGCACAGTGTCATTCACACAAACGCTAAACACCATCATGGTAACACACATGAAACTGAAATAATGCAATAAACATTCATTTAACAACATTAGGTGTAACACACAACCCTAATGTACAAAACTGATAAGAAAAAACTAAGAAACATAGTTATTTCAACAAAAAAACATTACATTTGAAATGTAACGCAGGGAATTCTGGGAATGTCAGTTTACGGTTATTCACTGTAAATTATACGGTATTTTTCACTTCCAAAAACGGTATACTACCGTAAAATTAATGTCCAATACATGTAATGTCCAATACAGTTTTTCACCGTATATAGTAGGGGAATTTACCGTTAACCATTTAACAGGTTTTTACTGTAGCATTTTTACAGTCTTTTACCGTTAAATTCACGGTCATTTTTTACAGTGTAGGGCTGCAATCTAATCATGTTAAAATGAGCTCTTGAAATGGCAGTTATCTAACTATCTGATGCTAGTTCTAAAGCCAGGGTTGACACTGAACAACACTTTACCACAGATGTGCTTGTAATAGTCGTGGCTAGATGGTAACTATTGTTCTGTGTAAAAAGAGTTAATTAAATGACATTTGCACCCAGTGCTTTCATAAAGTATGACTTTAGTACCTTTCACAAAACAACTTATATACAACGGCATAAATAATAATAAAATATTCATAATGCTTTTTCCCCCAACTTATTTACTTATTTTACTTTTGTAGTATGAGAATAAAATAAGTAGTATATAGTATATTTTATTATTAGACATGGCCGTCTATAACTATCAGGGAAGAAATCTACATTTAGCTTCATTTGAAGTAAAGCTTTAAGTGTCACAGCCAGAGTGACATGTCCCAGATGACACTTCTCTGACCTACTTAGAGCTGCAAAAGTTTATGAAAACCAGTGGCATACCACAAATCTGTGGGGCCTTCCTGCAGAAATGATTTCATATGAACGCTTGAATAGTGGTGCTGATGGACGCAGTGTTATTTGGGGCAATCTAACCTTTGCTTTTATACTTTTCTTTTTTTTTATGTATTTGGAACTTTAATCTCTTTAATAATTTTGCAGATTGTTGGGCCTACGTATAGTTCATGTTAATATTAATGCATGTCAGTGTTTGATTTTATAGACATTTTTTGTACTTTTTGGTACAACTTGTGTGGTAACAAACCCACTGATAGCTAAAATTCTCCAATACCAGCTAATGTTTTCAGCAACATTATTGATGAAAGACTGAATTTTCAGAAGTGAGTTAGATTATCTGAACACCTACCCAGTAAAGTAATTTCTTGAGTGATTCCATAGATGTCTACGATGGACCAGAGTGTGCAGCCAACACTTAGACCGCAGTGGAAGAGGATGGGCTCTCCATCATTGATGCTGTAGAAGACCCGGCCGTGTCGGTCAGCCCAGAAGGCCACAACATTGTCCCGCATGGCCAGCCTCTCAGGCAGGGCTTTGGCCCAATATCCTGGCCGCGTCACCAGGTCGGGGCAAGCATATTTGGGGATGTCAGCTATGGCAAGCTCACTAGGGTCTAAGCTGGTGAAACCAAAACGTAGAGCTCCGCTCCAGCCTGTGTGGACACCTGAGAGGCGCAACCGCACCTTCTCATACAAACGCACAGGACGCTGGCTGAAGGTGATGCCATTGCAGAAACTGTTCTTCCGGGTGGCCCGGCGCAGTTGTGCATCCAGTCGGATATTTTTGCCTTTGGCGTGGGGGTGAAAACGAGGAGACTCAATACTGATTGGAGGGGCAGAGGTGCGACGCTCCACTCCACTGTTGGAAACAGGGCAGTACTGCCGACTGGCCACTGGGCGATGCTGCAGGCTGGTGTCTGTTTGAATGAAAGCATTAGAGCACATTAGAAACAGGTAAAAAGCCACAACATACATGTAATGTAATACACACAAATGGCAAATATAAATATATGTATAAATTTATTTCTTATTAGACACCTAGTACATAAAAGACAATAAATACATAAAATACTATTTTATCATTCAAAACATTTTTTTCATTTTATACATTACCAAATAATTATAATTAAATAAATACTTTAAAAGATTATACTGAAAATGCAAGATTTTTTTTTTTTTTTACCTAGGAATAAACAGTTGTAGGATTCTGAAAAATCACTTAGAAACATAATTCACATAATTCTAATTTCTTTTTTAAATTAAACTTTTACACTCAAATTACCGAAATTATAGTTTGAAAAGACAATGCAATAATAAATAAGACCATTTATACTAGTGGTATGAAACTTTTGGATCCCATTCTATAACCTTTATTCTATTGTTGTTAAGTCTATGTAGTGAAATGTATAAGTGCACTGGTTTTCACTATAGGCATCTCTCAAGGGCACTATTCCAGGAAACAATATAAACAGCAACACTAAGGAGTATAATGATGAAAGTAGAACAAAAACTGGATGTGTCTTACATAGCACTTTACAGGTGCAAACTCAAATACTTAATCTAAGTTAAATCTGTGCCTAATAATGACATTTGATGAATCTTTCAAATAAATGTGTGGGTTAGCCTATATTTCAGACTAAAATCAGAAGAACAGGAAGTTATGTTTTACATAAAGAAAATGAAGATAATTTTAGAAGCATAAAGATTTTTTTGCACGGTGACAATATATTTTCATGACAATTATGCATATCCTTTATATTTCCTTTATGCATACTTTTTCCATTGATGTATGGTTTGTTATAGGATAGGACAATATTTGGCTGAGGTACAACTATTTGAAAATCTGGAATCTGAGGGTGCAAAAAATGAAAATATTGAGAAAACCGCCTTTAAATTTGTCCAAATGAAGTTCTTAGCAATGCATATTATTAATCAAAAATTAAGTTTTTATATATTTATGGTAGGAAATTTACAAAATATCTTCATGGAACATGATTTTTACTATATATCCTAATAATTTTTGCCATAAAAGAAAAATCGATAATTTTGACCCATACAAGCTATTGCTACAAATATACCCGTGCGACTTATGACTGGTTTTGTGGTCCATATATATATATATATATAAAATACACACACATACACATACATTACATACATATATTTCATTGAAGTAGTTGTACAGAAGAAGCTTTTAACTCTGCCTGAACTGATTAGCTCTAATCTATGTACAAACAGTGAAATGTCCCATGCCACATTTACCAAGTTAAGCATTATATCTAAATTCATTTAAGACATAACACTGCCATATAACAAACCAGTGAAACATTTGCAGCATCTGTTCTTGTATTTCATGAGGGTATGTCACAGTTATTGGAATTCTTCATGAAAATTGAGGATGTACGCAGCACACTGTCATTATGATTATGATTTTCATTGTCTTTCAGTAAAATATAAGCACTGCATTTAACAAAGATGTCGCAAAAAAAGACATTACATGCCTCATGTTTCTTGACAGAAAAGACAACTTTGTGGGTGTGACAAATACAATACAAATACACATAAAAATATAGAAGTATATAACTACTTTCCATTTAGTCTCACCTTCCACTTTACATTCCATAGCGATAAACTGCATTAAACTACAGTTTGTGGATGGGCTAATATGGCAGGTTTTAAGTGTTTTTCATCAATAGATCTAAGGCAGAGTCATAAAATACAACAGTTACCTTCTCACACACTCTAAAAAATATTGTTTGGATGCAACAAAAAAAATTTACGCAACAGTTTGCATAATTTTTTTTGAGTTAAGGCAACTTCTTCTGAAATTAAGTTCAACTAGTAAACTATATTGTGCTATATATACTTAGAAAATTGTGTTAAAACTAACACTTAAGTTGAATACTCATAAAAATGAAGTTGTTTTTTCACATTGTTTTAAATTTGATTCAATCATGGACACTGGTTAGCTTTGATTAAAAGAGCTCTCCACTGATTTGTGTATAGGCTTAGGAGAGATGAGAGCCATAAACTAGGGTGACCATACGTGCCATTTTCCCAGGACGCGTCCTGGCCAGGATTTCTATATTGCCTAAAATATCTAGGTTTTGGCTTTGTTTGCGTGTGCAGACCGATCGGTGTATGACATCAAAGTACCATACAGACGGTTATGCTTTCGAAACGCTCTCGAGGTACTTTGATGTCAAACACTGATCGGTCTGAGCCGCACTGCTTTTAAGTCGAACACACCTAATATGTACGATTAATTGCATCGCTTTGACCGTAGATCCCACCTTCTCACACGCCATGATTGGTCCATTATGTACAATGCTTGCATGTTATTGGTCAAACTACTTTTCGATCATTACCTTCAGCAAGCATGAAAACAGGAAAACAAAGCCAAAACAAATCCTGGCCAGGACGCGTCCTGGGAAAATGGCACGTATGGTCACCCTACCATAAACGCCACTTGTGAAGCAAAGCGTGGTTTTCGTGGCTTCCAAATATAGGCCTACACTATCCAATCCGAGCTGTGGTTAATGACAATGCCACTGTCCAGTCCCTTGACTCCTATCTCCTAGCACACACGCACACACATGAGAGTCTATAGCTCTGTCTATGCTATAAGTGTTACAAACAAACAGTACATCACAGGCCTTCTGCCATACAGTGGAAATGACAAAAGATTTGAAGACAGAGATAAAGATTATTTTTAAATGAAAAAAGGAGTGAAAAACCTTCATAATGATTTGAATTGCATAAATAATACCCCAAATTAATAAATCCCACATTGCCAATCCTTATTCTTCATTCAGTGGAAAAACATGCCCCTACCTACATTTCCTCAAAATTATATTGTTTTTCTTCTTGCACATTTCATAACACTTTCAAAAGTGAAATATCTGTGAGTGGCGCGAAAAGCATATTCAGTTTTATCCGAAACAGATGAATGTGAATCTGACAATATTTTATTATGTTGGTTGCTATATTTATCATGTAAATGAAACGTCCAGCGAATGACGCTAAAAGGTAAATGCTTTATCATGTTTGAAAATAATGTACTACCTACACTGAGCCCTATACTAAACCTAACCTGTTAAAGGAACACGTCACTATTTTTGAAAATAGGCACATTTTCCAACAGTTGGAAATGTGTTAAATGTGAAATGCGTCTGTGTATTGCCCTGCGTAATATCATTGCGCCTGCTGCACCCATGGTACGGCAGCAAAGTTCCTTGATTATTACGCCGGAATGAGAGTATAGTTCCTAGCCATATCGGCCTAGAAAATCAAAATTTTTCATTTTCCGTTGGTCTTAGTACAGAAGAGTCAAGTTTTAAATAGGAAAAATATCGAAACTCTTTGGTCATTTTTGAGCGAGATGCTAACGGTCTAATCAGATTCAATCATCTATGCTAAGCTACAGCTAAAAGTGCTACCGCCAAACCCGGAGATCGGCTGGATGGATTCGAAAACGGTAAAACTCAACTGTTTAACTCTAGGGGAGTTGGAAAATGAGCCTATTTTCAAAAATAGTGGCGTGTTCCTTTAACAAAATCAAACGTAAGAGAAAAACTTAAGTAAACATGCCATCATGTCTTTTATGAGTTTTTGTGCTCAATGGATTGTTACTAGTTGTTACTAGTGTTTCAAGCTCTGTATCACAAGTGTAATGCTGTATCAGGTGAGCTACAGTGCAAGTTTACTACATCAGAAAAGCCCTACATATGAAGCAGGTTTTGTGATACATATATTAGTAGGGCTGTCGATTTAACACGTTAATGCATTGCATGCAGTTGCTGACAAACATGATACATGATGACTGTGCGATGTGATATTGTGATGTTAATTTTATACAACAGTTCAATTAATTAATTAGTTAATATTGTGTTACATTTTTAATACAATTTTGTCAAGTATTGTCTGTTTTTGCTCAATTTCGCCAAAGAAAATGCTTCTAAACAAAACCACAACAGAAATGTTGTGGATTTCCAAGAAACACACAGCTGTGTTTCCAAAAAAACGTGGATTGAGTTAATAACGAAACACTGCTGACAATGAGTTGCCGCTACCTACTGGTCTTCATATTTAGACTATATTTCATTAAAAATAAATTACATACTGCAATATTAAATTTCAATTTTCAATATAAAAAAAAAAATCAATATTCAAAAAAAAAAAAACATTAATGTGTTTTAAAACCAGTAATCTACGAGTAAGCTATGCAATTTTTAATTTTGTCATTTCATCTGAATATCAACATTTGTCAAAGTTTTTGTGTCTATTTGTTAATGAGGGAAATGTGGACACAATGTTTTTAGATTTGTGAAGTAAAAATAAATTGACACAAAAGGCCCCAAGTGGCATGTTGTTGTTAGTGTTATTATTTCTCAATTTAATTCTAATTGTAATTTTGGGATTATTTAACATTTCCATGAATTATTTCAGACATCTTTGCTTTCATTAAAACCTATAGTTTAACTTAGTGAAATCATTACATTTGCATTCATAGTGTTGATATTATGAGATATATTCAATTAAAAAAATATGGACAATTAAATCTGTAAATATTCTTATGCTTGTATACAAGTCATAGAATAATTTTACCTTTCAGATGAATCTTTCTGCTTTGTCATTGGTTATTCAATTATACAACAAAATCATCTAAATAAAATTTTAAATAAAATAGTTTATTTATTTTAGTATTTTCATGAATGCCCCTTTAAAAATATATAAATGTTACTTCAATCATGACAACTCTTGGAAGATTTTAGCATGGTGATGGATATGACAATGTTAATGCATTTGGTCTTGGCGGAATAGATCTGCTATGCTGCTGCTGAATTGCTGCTGCTGTTGGTAATTGCTGTAGTTGTAGATTATTGCTGCTGCTGCAAGCAAGTACAGGAACTTGCTA